TGACTTACATCAAAAGGAATCATATTTGGTGTTGTGGTGACATTTTTCCTTAGGTAACGAACATTTTTGTACAAAGTCTTTGGGATGTTTGGAATTCTTTAGGTCGATCATAAGGTGATAGTCTTACTTTTTTACATACATAGATGATAAATCTAGATTTATTTACTAATTATTTATTTATCTTAACCAACATGTGGCCAAGTATGGTAGACTGCATCAACATGTTTGGCAATTTTCATTTTCATTCGCTTGCGTAATCATTCTAGAAAGCTTAGAAGGCCAACCAGGGGTGAAGGGTCACAACCCTCTCTTCCAATTACTATGCCAAGAGGCAGGTTAGCTTTTTTGTTAAATCATAAATTTCATTTGGTCTAAGCCTCTAACTTGAATCGGGAGAGGGGGGGGGGGATTATTATAAAGGTTATATGCTTTTATCGGAAGAAAAAGTAATCTCGATTGTTATATCTTCCAATTAAGCATAACAAACCATTTTAATTTCTTTATTTCTGTTTTTCAAGTATTCCATGAAGATAATATGGTTTAATTTATTAAAAATGTAGGTATTAAATGTTGTAGCAAAAGAATACAATGTAAACTGGGACCCACCTTTATTTGAAGAGATGAAATCATCTGATAGATGATTTGTTGGTGAGTTGATAATTTGCTCTTAAAATTCTATGTTTTTAAGTTTCAATTTGATTAAATTACATTGTCGGTTCCTGAGTATAATTGATTTTTGTAATTTCTATAAAGTTCTGTCTTCTGATTTAAGTTCACATTCGACATTTTCATTACATTTTTATGTCTGAGGGTGTTACTGATTAGTGCAGTTTTGGTTGCAAGCACACTTTCAACTCATACAATCGGTTATCTTGATTCATTATATAGTTATGATTATACTGTCATGCATCTTCATCTTATGAATATGGAAATGAGTTGTTATATTCTTTGAACAAGTTTTCTTATAATTTTCATTATGTCTATGAAGTAATACCATAATTATCAAATCCTTACTTTATCAGAAAATTAGATGTTATACATGAGTTTGAAGAGAAGGAGATATCAACAACTTGCTCAAATGTGTTGACAGTGTTGTTTCAGTATATACAAAATAGCACCATACTTTAAAATTCTACTCAATTATAGCCCACGTCATTTAAATATAAAGCAATTTTCATACTTTTGAAGCATAAAAGACAATGTAAATATTTGTGTTGTCTTTTCAATCGTAACCCAAATTAGCCATAAACAAGTAAACCCATGTAACTTGTTTAATTATACGGGTTCACGTGTTTGTGGGTCAGATTCGGGTTTATGGGTCAGATTTAGTGTCGTGGTTCAGAATCGGGTTCGTGGTTACGATAAAAAAAATTAATATTACATATTTACTTATTAGTCCTTACACTCTCCTTTTATTTAGTAAATATATTTTTATTTTTATTTTAATCTAATAACATACACGAGTCCACAGATCCATCAGTGAAATTATCTGCAAACTCGAACATGACCAATATAATAAACAGGTTAGCGGATCAGAAGAACTCAACTCAACCCCTTTATCTTCATGTCGGTTCGTATCGTGGTACAGATCGTGTTGAGAATTGTCACCCCTAACAAAAAGTAAGGTATCCATGACTTTTAAAACGACTATCTAAGTGTTATAAAAAACTATTTTTAAAAAGTATTTTTTATTTATCCAAAAAAAATGTGTTTTTTGAACTCTAAAAGTACTTTTAGACAAAATATTTATTTAGTTATGATGGTGGCAAATTTTTTTTTAAGAAAAATGTTTTGATTAATGTGGTATCAAAAGCCAACAAGTCAATAAGTTAAATGATGTTTAACTTAAATCACTTTTTTGAAGCCATTGTGATTAAAAAGTTAAAAAGAGTTTAAAAAAGTCAAGTTTACATGTTTTTTAAAATCTCATTTTTTAAGTTTTTTTAAGCTAATGGAAAAACTATTTTGAAAAATGCTTTTGAGTTTGTCAAACTTTTTTTTTGTTTTTCAAAAACTCAATAAATCACTAAGTTATTTTGAAAAAACAATTCTAAACAAGCTTTTTCAAAAAACCAATAAATCAATAAATTCTTTTAAAACTCAATCCCAAACACCCTCCTAGTACAAAATTTCTAATTTTCTTTTCCTGGAGTTGTAACACTCTTTGTGAAAGGATATGCATTATGTTTTTATTATTTTTAGAGTAAAATATATTTTTGTGTTGGCAAAAATAACATTTTTGTCTTATTTTCTGTTTTTTGTCATGGATGGTCTTTATTTAGGGGGTTTGGTAACACCCTTATGCCTAACAAGATTAATACCTTGGTTGTTATTTTTTAAGTATGACTAGTTTGCCTTTATGTTTATCTTCTTTATTGACTTATTATTTACTAATTAAAACTACTAATCACTACTACTAATTACAATAGCATCAACACCAATACCACAATCATAACCATAACATCCACCCACCACCATCACAACCACCACATCACCACCATGACTATTTACTAACATGTACTTGAGCAAAAACATGTGTCTCTTGAATAAGGGTGAGCATGTGTCAATTTGGGACAGTTTTGAAGAAAAACCGAATCAAACCCGCTAATTTTAGCTTTCATTCCTTAGAACCTATTGGGTTCGGTTTCTAGGGTCCAACCCATACGGTTTATGAGATTTGGGTTTTAAACCATTTTCCAACCAATGTAAACAAAGTAAATCATATTTTTGTCCACTATTCCGGCCATTTAAAACCAATCAAAACACTAAATCAACTAAATAGTTTAAGGAAATATTAAATTACAAAGTTTAGAAGTTTACAATCAAAATATGAAAACACCATCAAAGTAAAACAAAACCAGTCAATTACAACCAAAACATGAAAACACCAATCTTCAGTCCTTACCTATCGGGTTAGGTTCCATATTTTAGTTTTTTTTTTATTTTTAAAATATATATTAAATATTAATTAATCATAAATGTATATTATGGGTTAGTTTATGGGTTTAGGTCAGTTTGATTTTAATGAGTCGGTTTCTGAACCCAAAACCGAAATTGAAACCGATTTTTTGATTTTTGAAATCTGGTTTGATTTTGGTTTTTCATCTGTTTTTGTTGGTTTTTTAGTTTATGGGTTCAAGTTTGCTCACTCCTAATTTTGAACACATTTTGAGTTAAAACCAACAACCACCACCATTACAACCACATCACTGCTGCTACCACCAGCATCCTGCAATCACAACCATCACATCATTGTTGCTGCCACCACTATTATCGAGTTATCACCATCACAACCGCTATAACCCCATTGTTGTTTCCACTACCATCACAAACACTTGCCACAAATATGTAATCTACATGTTCCAACTTCCACATCATTCAATAACAACGAATCACAAAAGCAATCCAAGAGGACATGAAAAACAGAAAATTAGACAACAAATTCAACCAAACATGATAGATTTTTTGGTCAAAAGCATACATTGTTTCTGGTCAATAACACACAAATGAAACTTAAGAAATATCTTGGTTACAAACATTGCCAAACAAAACATCTCCATGATAATAGCAACAACGAAGACCATATCAAAGCATAAACCCAGACATCATTTTTCCATTCTTGGTGGACCCTCAACATTTCAAGTGGAAACAAAATTTCTTTGGGTGGATACTGAAAGTCCACCAAAGTATTTTGGTCCTACTTTCTACAAAACCTTGCCCACCCACCACCCATCCCTGTGGTTTACATCCACAAATAAAATAGGGTTAAAAAGAGAAGGAGATGTAGAAATTAAAAAATCTCACCCACCCCTTGAATAGGTTAGCGAGTTATATATAACAACAGATTAGATTACAAGCAATAATTAAGGAGGAGAAGGGTGGGTCGGAGAAAAAGAGATAAACAAGCTATTAATGTTTTGGAGCTGATGTGAGACTGTATATCTCTAGTGGCACAAACTGTGTTTTTCCAAACATGAAATAACGCCTAAAATGTGTTGCTTTTGATATGGTATAACCACATACATGGGTTCCATAAGTCATAAGTATACTAAGTAGTAGGTTGAGGATGTGCATGCTACATTGCTTTTATTATCTGCTGAGCCTCTTCATTTCACAACCATCATTCATGTTATCCCCGTAGCCATCTGCATGTCTCAGAACATCAACTCTAAATCTGCAAAGTCAAATATTCTGCATGGTTTCTGTGGTTAAAGATCATCTCCTGTCAAAAAAATAAATAAATAAAAGTTGCATGAACATGGTCAACTTTTTTTAAGAAAACACCAAATCAAAGCTTGCTTAATCCAATGAGCTTACTGGTGTTCTTTCCAATTTACAAAAGAGAAGAAGCATGGTAAATCAAGAACAACGAAGGAGGCGTGCTGCAAAGGCTCCATCAAGAGAATGGTTGACAGGGCTAGAGAAATAGTAACCCTCCTCACTCAAAAATTCAGCCGATATGTATCTCTCTGAAGACTCTATGCTGTATTCCTGCTACATCAACACACATACATTATAAAGGACCAAAAATGAAAAATGAAGGATAGTAGCCTACCTGATGCCTGAGAAGAAATGCAGCCACCCTCTGTTCATTCTCTTCAGGGTCAATTGAACAGGTGCTGTATACTAGCACTCCACCAGGTTTTACCAACCTGCACACTCATCAAGCTCAACACAGACAAATATTTTGAATTCCACAAACAATTAATTAATATCATTACAAAAACTATTATGACAATTACATGTTTAATCCCTCCCTAGTATAGCTGTTTCTCTTGCAGTTTTGGTCCCAAGAAGTTTTCTTTTGCAATTTTGGTCCTTGTTTTAATGGGGTCCTTTATAATGTTCTTGGTCCCTGTTCCATGTTCAAAGTCTATATTTTTGGGATCAAAATTGCATAACTCAGCTATACTTAAGGACCAAAAATAGTCATTTTACCTGGAACAGGGACCAAAAAAAGTTACAGAAACCTCAACTAAGCACCAAAATTGTAAGAGAAAACCATTTGGCAATAAAATCGAAAAAACCGGCTATACTCAGGGACCAAAAAAGTAATCTAATCTTAAAATCATCATCCAATTTTTTTGGTTGTAATTACTCGATAATTCAGGTGTTCCCTTTATATAAAATTTCTTCACAATGTATCCGTTTGAGCAACCCAAATTGAGTCGTTATCAGCAAAATATAGCAATGATATTTGTAATAAAATATGGGGTATGCCTCACATGGAAGCCGCATCAAGAAGTTCATCTTGCAAACTTTTAAGTTGTTCCATATCTTCAGACTTTCTATTCCACCGTAAGTCTGCTCTCTGCAATTTATATAATAATAATAATAATAATAATAATAATAATAATAATAATAATAATAATATGATGCAGGAAGAGAAATCAAAAGCATAAAAATACCTTGGAAAGAACACCAAGTCCAGAACAAGGGGCATCCAACAACACTTTATCATACTTCACATGATTATTCTCCTTAAACAAACAAACAAAAAAAATCAATAATTTGGATCTGAAACAGTTACTATTACAGGTAAAAGATAAAGTAGATTCCCCAAATTTGGTAGAAAGAGTAAAGCATGCCTGCTATTTTCCCAACTGGAAATTATAGAAAAACAAACACTGAAATTTGCTCACAGGAAATGTACGAAGATCAGCATGCACAGTAGTGATGACATCATCAAGTTGTTGCAATTTAGCTGTCTCTTTGAGGATCCTCAACCGCCCTTTATTTATGTCAATTGCAGTTACCATTCCTAGATCCCATCAAATAAAATAAAATAAAATAG